TGGACACCATCTCTTCACTACACAGTCCCATAGGAAGTGTCTGGACAATGTGTACAGTTAGAGCTCGTGTTCCTTTTTCAGTCATGGGCCTTGAGCAATACAAGAAAAGTTGGGGTGCTTCTCTAACGACTCCCCAGAGCACAACTGAGAACCAGCACATACTAGTTGCCATGCCTAAGACTGTATTCTAGCTCTGGCCTCATGGGGACTTCCAAAGACCCGGATTTTCTGTCTCCATGTCACAGCAAGCCTTTGCCTTCCACAGCTTTCCCCACACCAGGCCTGTTGCGCGCCTCTCTCTCTCTCTCTCTCTCTCTCTCTCTCTCTCTCTCTCTCTCTCTCTCCCTCTCCCAAAGTCTATTCCTAGACCTTACCAACCCAAATGAATATTTTAACCCAAGAACTTTACCCTCAGGCCCACAAATTCAGCTTTTGGATACTTCCTTCTTGCTGTTCACACTGAGGCCTAAAAGGGGACCCTGATGGGACCACCACGCGGGACTGCAGGTGCCAGATGGAACACAAGGACAGAAAACAAAAGGCAGAATTACTGATGCCCCAAGAGTTAGCTTCTTTCCTTCCAAAGACAGAGGGCAAAAGTTCTTCTTCACTAACACAGCTGTGTCATGCATGTTCACATGTGTGTTTCATGTAACTGTCCATATGCCACTGTCTCTAGAACCCCCAACTTAACTGGGGAACAAAACCTGCGGCTACTTCAGGTTTTTCCACTCATTCTCTGAGGTGTGCAGTGAATTTACTTTTTATTTTCTCTTTTGGCATGCCTATTTTACACCTGTGTGTGTGCCCATGTATGAATATAAATGTTTGTGGGTGGCATGAAAGACCTGACAGATGAACCCTGACTTAGAAGCTCAACCACTCTTGTTTCTTAGAACATACTAACGCGGTGTCTTTGGGTCTACTGAACGCTTCATAAAGCTTTTTAAAATGTAGCATTTATTTATTTATTTATGTTGTGTGTGCATGTGTATGTGTTTGTGTGTGTACTCATGTGTCACAGCACACATGTGGAGGTCAGAGGACAACTTGCAACAGTCAGTTCTCTCATTCCACTATGTGTGCTCCAGGCATCAACTCAGGCTCGGCAGCAAGTCCTCTGTCCCTGATGTTAGCCAGTCCCCCAGAAGACTTGAAAATGCTACTTTCTTATATAAAATAATATGCATTAATGTCATAAGAGTTCCATGAAATTTCACGTTGGAGACACAGAGTTTGATAGCTTTCCTTCAGCAAAGTTTCTGAAAGAAACTAATTCTATTTCACTTTTTAAAATAGCCATGGATATTCTTAAGAGCAGCCCCAGTAACTGGGGGAATGGGTGCTGTCCTGATGAGAAAAATGGACTGGAGAGAAGGAGAAAGGTTAGGAAAGAACAAAGAAGGAAATAAGGAACCCATCCTTCTTGATTTTAAGAGAGACCGGAAAGGTCTTGTTGCAGTAGGAGAGAGAGCACAGAAGAGGTCTGGGAACTTCTCTGCTGCAATGAAAGACTTACCAGGCAAACATCCTGTGTCTGCCTTGGTGGAAATCTGTAATAAGAGAAGGTGGCAACTACCTGAATTCCTCTTGGTCCATGACAGTGGCCAGATCATCGCAAGCATTTTCTCTTTAGGGTACTGAGAAGTGGAAGCCCTTACCAGCCCAATTGTATGTTTTTCTTGCATAGGTATTGATTAATGGAAGCGCTTACCAGCCCGGCTTTGCCAGCCCTAATAAGAAGCATGCTAAAGCCACAGCAGCCACTGTGGTTCTTCAAGCAATGGGCCTTGTACCAAAGGACCTCATGGCTAATGCCACTTGCTTCAGGAGTGCCTCACGTAGATAGACTGAGGTTTTATATTAATCATTTCAGATAATTTTACTCTGCATCACAATGTATTTCCTCCTTAACGTTGTAAATATTTCACAATTTAAGACACTGTATAAAAAGCAATCTGTACAAACATCTCCAGGCTTTGGTTTTTGTGCCATGGAAATTGTATTTAACCATACAGGGTTTTGGTTTGTTTATATTGTTTTACCTTAGTGATGTATTTGTTTAAGTGGCTAACATCAAAACAATTGTTTGAAGGCATCAGTAATATTCAGTGTGGAATGTTAAATAACGCTTTTATACTGTATTCTCTACTATGATGTAACTCCCCTTTCTTATGGCTAGGCTACTGTAACACTTGCCTGTAATCAGTGAAGGGCTGTGCACCTTCTACTATTTCACAAGGGGCTCTGCTGGATAGATACTGGGCCAGTGTTATTAAGGTAATGAAGCAAGATCTGCTCCACAGGGCTAATGCCACCGCCCCACCCCCACTCCAAGTTTTGTAGAGGTTATGAAAAGAAAGTGATCTATTGTGTCATGATCAGCACTAAGTCCTGCATTCCCATTAAAGCCACTTGGATCATAAGAAGGGAGTGAATGGAAGTCTAACTAGAATTTTCCTTCAGAGGCCAAGTACATATTTAGTATGGCTTGAGTTGTGATATAGTTTTCCTTTGATGTGCATTTTGAATTTCAGCTACACCTAGATAGACATAAATAAAAATGCTCCAACCAACTTATCAAATAAAAATTGGCAACCAGCCATTATTTTGTTGAATATAAGAAAGTTTAAGTTGATGTTAATTTTTTAGGGTCTGATAGAATATTCATGTGTATTACAGTGGTATTCATATGCTATGTCTCTAAACTTTATTTTCAAAAGCTTAAGGCCCAAATACAAACTTCTCTGGAATTAAAAAAAAGTAGCCATGAATAACAAAACAATAAAAATGTTTTGTGTTACTGAAAATACATCTAAATAACATACATTTTAAGTTATTTTATTAGATTAATTGTTATTGATTTATTTATCAAGAATACCCCTTTTTTCCAGACAGAAGCTCATTATATAGACTCACTAAACTGACCAGCTGGCCTTGAACTCAGAGACATCCTCCTGCGTCTGCCTCCTACGTGCTGGGATTAAAGGTGCCGTGTGCCCCCACACTTTCCATTTTCAGGAATGTTCTTATTATACAAGTGAGAGCTGTAAGGTTTCCACTACGGCTGTGACCTACGCAAAATGTTTATCAAAGATCTTTATGCCAACTCCCCTTTTCACAGTGACAATGACAGGCAGTGCAGCCCAGTGGATTCAAACCTAGGCACACTCACTCCAAATGTAACGAAAACAGCTGTTATTAAATCTTAATACTAATACTTACAATTTAAGATTTATTTTAACTTACATTTTATGACATTAAAATATAAAAGATATTGCCCTTCACCTGTTCTCTCCTCAGAAAACAGGCTTTGCAAGGCTCTTGTCCTGTTCAATTAAAAGGCAATAATAACAAGAACCAAGCGTTGGTGCCTGATTCTCCTGCGTAGGACTGATCGGATTAGACCCCGTGTCTTTAAAACCAAAATCCTTCTATTTAGTTTACACTGAAAGTCATTTCTTTAAAGATCTAGGTTTGGGGTTGATTTGTGCATTATGAACAAAAGGACCTGGTTAACAAACTTAAAGAGACAAAAGTCACAGAGCCTTTGTTGCGGGGCGAGGGTGAGGGGTGTTCCAGACACAGTTTCTCTCTGTAACAGCACTGGCTGTGGAACAGGCCTGCCTCTGCCTGCACAACTATGTGTATGTGTGTTGTCTACATGTACTGGTGTTTAATATTGTTCATGTGGTCCATAAATTAAAAGTGTTATTGGCCCAAAATCCCTGTTAGCCTGTAGTGTAACTAAAATGGTAAAACGAAAAGCAAAGAGGGGTTTGTAACTAAACGGTCTGAATCAAGACGGGATTTAGTTGATCCTTGTCTCTGTGCTGAAGTCTCTATTGTTTGGGAGAATAACCCGCTTTCAGAATATGGGCCTCCTGCTCCAGGGCATGGCTCTCTCAGGGGCATGGTGCTCTGGGGTCTGCTGCTCCTACAAGTCCAAAATTGGAATAATGAATTATGTCTGTGCTTTCAGCTTTCCCTAAGTAATGAATATGTTTACCTGCAGAAGTTCCCAGGTAGCCCACAGGAAAGGAGTAGACTCTAAATGAAAGCAAAAAATCAGAATTTTATCCTGATTTAGAGTTCATAAGTCCAAATAAGAAATGAATGTATTTTAAACAAATGCAGTTTTCAAATACCTAGATAAATTGGTTCATTTAAATTTGTTGGTTAAAATAAATACTATCTCCATGACTGCTACAAATGTTTTGCCTTTGTTTCAAATATAGCTTTCTGTGCTTCATTAAAATATAAAGTAGTTTTATTAAAAATATTTTCTAAGCCAGGTGGTGGTGGTGCACGTCTTTAATCCCAGCATTCAGGAAGCAGAGGCAGCGGTAGGGAGATCTCTGAGTTCAAGGCCAGCCTAGTCTACAGAATGAGTTGCAGGACAGCCCAACACTACACAGAAAACCCTTGTCTCAAAAAACAAAAACAGACAAACAAAAAAAAATGTTTTCTAAATTTTGTAAAGAAAAATTAAACAAACAAAAATAAATAAAAAGGAGATATACAGGGGTGGGGAAGACAGGGGAGTGGGTCACTTAAAACCAAGGATATATGACAAACCCTTTGAAAATCCACTAATTGGTAAGCTTATTTAAAAATATAATATTTTTAAAAGTTTGGACATAGGTACCCTATACAGGTGGACAATGCTCCCCACAAAAGACATGGTTATTTAGTGAAAATCTTGGTGCCAAGTATGGGCTGTCTCCATACGTATTGTTGGTCAGAAAGGTCCCAGAAAACCCCCAAATGCCCGATTATCACCATTGTTCTTGGTTGTCCACCAGAACTAGATAGTAGGGATAGAATACACCTTGGTTTCCGGACAGAGAAATCAAGCTGAGGGTCACCTAAAAGTTCCTCCCCGAGGACCTGGAGAGATGGCTCAGTGGTTAAGAGCACTGGCTGCTCTTCCAGAGGTCCTGAGTTCAATTCCCAGCAATCACATGGTGGCTCACAGCCATCTGTAATGAGATCTGGCGCCCTCTTCTGGTGTGCGGTCATACATGGAGACAGAATGTTGTATACATAATAAATAAATAAAATCTTTAAAAAAAATTACTCCCCAATAGACAGTGTGGTAGTTTGAATGAGAATGGTCCCCATAGGCTCATATGTTTGAATACTTGGTCCCCAGTTGGTGGAACTGTTTGGGAAGGTTTAGGAGGTGTGGCTTTCTTGAAGGAGGTGTGTCACAGGGTAGGGGCAGGCTTGGAGGCCTCAAAAGCCCATGCCATTCCCAGTTAATTCTCTCTGCCTTGTGGTTGTGTCTCAAAAGGTGAACTCTCAGCTACTGCTCCAGCACCATGCCTACCTGCCTGCTGCCATGTTAGTGGGCTCTAACCCTCCAAAACTGTAAGCCCCCAATAAGCTTTTTCTTCTCTGTGCTGCTTGGTCATGATGTCTTTCCACAGCAATAGAAAAGTAACTAAGTTAGCAAGGTTTCACAGTGCTACAGTGTGATATGTCACTGGGGGTAAAAGCCATAAACTGTATTACTAAGTCATCAACCTTGCATGCTATAATACTGACTTGCCAGGCAAGATGTGCCCACTGCCCAACAGAAGCATGAAAGCCTACATGGGTAACCAACCAATTTTGGATTGGATTTGGGGTCTACTCCACTGGAGGGAATGCATGCCTGGTTCTATGAAACCAATCAAAAGCCCAGAAGAAGGGAAGACATGGGCCCTAGAAGGGAACCTACTACTATTACCTTGCTGCATGGACATATTACAAGAACAGATTCTAAATATTTCAACTCACTCACTAGATGAGTGCTGGTCTCAACCCTGGCCAGAGACACTGCAACAGCCAGCAGTTAATGCATAGCCTCACTCCTGGTAACAAGGTAAACAAGATGACTACTGAGTACTCAACTCTGTGGGGCATCTGTATCGAACACCACCCCCCCCAACCCCAGGCTCAGGGAGCATCTCTTCTTGGAAGAGGAAGGGAGAAAGAAGGTAAGAGCAGGATGGGGAGGGGGGCTGTGAGATTTTGTCTTCAGGACAGGACAGGACCGGTGTCCAGGTAAACTCGCTGCAGCTATGGTTACATGCAAAACCAAGTCAACAATATTAGTCAGTATTTCAACAGGCAATGCTGTGACTTAGTGGGTCACAAAAAAAGAAGAATGGAGGGGAGATATGAAATGAATTGGGGTACATTTTGGGGTTGGATCAGAGGAGTAGGAAAGGGCAGCTGATGAAGGATATGGCCAACATACACTGTTTACATGTATGAAATTGTCAAAGAAGGGACCAGAGAGATGATGGCTCAGTGGCTAAGGCACTCAGAAGTTCTGAGTTCAATTCCCAATACCCACAGAACAGCTCACAACTGTCTGTAACTCCAGCTCCAAAGCCCTCATATGAAGGGCAAAACACCAATGCATACAAAATAAAAGTAAATCATTTTCAGAAAGAAGAAGAAAATTATAGCTACCTCCTTCCGGCTTTCACTTCCACACGGTGGCATGCACGTGCCCACATACATATACCTATCATATAAATAAGTAAAGATAAGAACGCATCTAAAGCCTGAGTACAGACTACTGACATGTCAGCTCAGACAGCACAGCTGTCATTAGAGGGAATTCCATTTCTACACCCAAAGCTGAAACCTTACTTCCGGTCTTGGCTTTCGTCACTGTTTTTCCTTTGGCACTGCTGATTCCCACTTGTTACAATCTCACACATTCTCTGCTCCAACCTATTCCATCACTGGGTTTCTTCTAGATAATCTTTTTGGTATCTTGCTATATTCTTTTTTCTCTTATTTAAATTGTGCATATGGATGTGTTTGGCCTGCATGTATGCTTGTACACCTCTTGCACGCCCAGTGTCCATGCAGGCCAGAAGATGGAGTCCAATCACCAGGAATTAGAGTTACAGATGGCTGTGGCCAACCATGTGTGTGCTGGGAACTGAGCCCCAGTTCTCCACGAGAGGAGTCAGTGCTCCTACCAGCTAAGCCATTTCTCTAGCCCCTCTTTCTATTTCGTTTTTTCCCTTCTAATGGAAACAGATTCTTTTCTCATCAATATATGTTGATTACAATTTCCCCTCCTGCTATTCTTCCCAGTTCCTCACCATCTCTCCTCCCCTCCTGGTCCACCCCCTTTCTGTCTCTCATTAGAAAAGAACAGGCTTCCAAAAGACAGCAACAAAACATAACAAAATAAAATATTAAGATAAAACAAAAGCCTTCACATCAAAGTTGGACAAGGCAAACCAACAGAAGGAAAAGAACCCAAGAAAAGGCATGAGAATCAGAACCTACTCAGGAGTCCCAGTCAAACACTAAACTGAAAGCCTTGCTATGTGAGGACCTGGTGCAGACCATGCCCTGTGTCTGCTGCTTCCGTCTCTGTGAGTTCACGGGAGCTTTGTTCACCTGATGTCCTCCACTCGCCCTGACTGTTAGACTCTTTCTGTCTCCTCTCCTCTGGGTACTCTGCAGGCTACCAAAAAGAAACATATATAGCAACCCAGCTGCAAAACCTTAGATCTACAGTGCTATCCTGCCTACAAAATATGTGCCAGGGTGATGGTGGCATAAAATGTGTGGGAGTAACCAACCAATGTCTTATTTGACTTTAAAACCCACTCCAAGAGATGGAACCCAGACTAGCCCTGCTTAGATGAAAAGAATCAGAGACGGCATAGCCCAGAGACATAGGGTAAAACCAAATAATGTTGGTCTTGAAAAAGAAAGAAAGAAAGGAAGGAAGG